TCCGGGTCCAGGACACGAACCATGGTCGACTACGTGGGAGTCCAGCGACATAGCCATTACGCTAACTGCTGGTCCCCCACCCGCCATTAATTTTAAGCTGCCAGATCTGGGACTCAAACCACAGTCCACTACGTGGGAGTCCAGCAACGTAACCATTACGCTATCTGCTGATCCCTGGTTTTCCTTTTTAAAGAATTACTTTTTAAATTTTTTTTACGATCACCTTTTTTTTTTTCATTTGGCCAGAAAGGCAGACAGAGAGAGAGAGAGAAAACAGGGAAGTAAGAAAGCAAGCCGCTAGGTCTGGGACTTGAACCTTGGTCGACCATGTGAGAGTCCAGTGCCTTAATCGCCATGCTACCTGCTGGCCCCTCTAGCATGATGTTCAAGCTGCCTGATCCACGACTCAAATTACACAGCTGGCCATGTAGGATCCAACACTTTAACCTCCACACCACCAGCTAACTCCCAAGGGACTTACCTTTGCAAAGATACCTCTTTCATTGATTCTGTATGGGGAGAATTTGTGCATCTCCCTTCCCTGTGTACTTAACTACTTAAAAACGGGGGTTGGAGGATGGGTCAGCAGGAGGATGGCATGGTGATTAAGGCATCGGACTCCCACGTGGTCGACCGCATTTCGAGTCCTGCACCCGATGACGTGAGACTCATGCTGGTTTGTGTGTGTGTGTGTGTGTGTGTGTGTGTGTGTGTGTGTGTCCAAAATACCAAGAAGAGAATGAACGAGAAGGGATTATAGTGTGGCCATCCCTCAGAGGGTTATTTCTCACTTTTCCCTCCCTCTGTCTCTGTCTCTAGTGAGTGTATGTGCCCTATGACAATAAATAAATAAATAGGAAAAGAGGGACCAGCAGCTGGTGTAATGGCTGTGTCACTGGACTCCCATGTAGTCAATAGCAGTTCGAGTCCCGGACCCGGTGGCTTAAAATCACGCCAGGTGCATGTGCGTGCGTGCCCAAGATCCCGAGAGGAGAATGGAGGAGAAGGGATTGCGGTGTGACCATACCTCCTGGGGGGTGATTTCTCACTTTCTGTCTCTCTGTCTCTCTCTGTCTGTTTGCTGAGAGCACACACGCCCTATAGCAGAAACCTCTCCCCCCAAAAAAAAGAGGAAAGGGAGTTTCCGGTTCACATGAATGCGGGATTTTAATGCACAGTCACTAAGCTGGTGTTCAGACATTTAAAACATGAGACCACGGAGCCAGCCAGACATGGCTTTATTTTAAAGCTCGCCAGCATCTTTTGCTTTTCTCCCGTAGCCTCGCCACATCTTTCGAAATGATTTGCAAGTTTATTTTTACACTTTTCTGCGGGAGCCTCCAGGCTTCCTGTCCTTCGCTTTTGCTCTGTACCAGCAAAAGGTCAGCCACCACCGTTCGGCCGCCAGCCTGGCAGCAGCCCGGGCTGGTTGACTAAGGTATTCATTTAAGTTGTGATTTTCCTTTTCTGCTGGAGCACGCGCCCTGGGATGGGCGGCTGAGCTTCTGAACGGGGGGCCCTGTTCATTCAGGAATCCGGCTTATTTGCATTCGGGCTTGCTGGAGGCTTATTAAACAGAGGCTTGTGTCCAAACCTGACAAAGGCCTGCTGGCTGCTGCTGCAAGTCGGAGCTTGTATTCTTGGACACTGTGAACCATGAGCTGCAGGCCGGGAGGGTGGCGTCCCTCAGCCCCCCCAAGCACGGCTTGCAGCTTTATTTGCTTCATGAATCATGTCAGCGCATGCGTGAGTGCACACGTGTGTGTGTGTGTGTGTGTGTGTGTGTGTGTGCACGTGCATGCACCTTAGCTATCATTCCCACCCCCACTTTATTTTCCACTCCCTTCTCTGGGAAATAATATCCGAGTAGGAATGGCATAACTAAAGAGATAGAAAGAGAAAACCCACTGTTACAGCCACCATCCTATGGGACCAGAAGATGGTATAATGGTTATGTCACTGGATTCCCATGTGGTCGACTGCAGTTCAAGCTACAGACCCGGTGGCTTGAAACACAAGCCAGGCACTTACACTTGTGCATGCGTGCCCAAGAGCCCAAGAGGAGAATGGAGGAGAAGCCCTCCCGGGGGGGGTGGGTGGGGGGTGATTTCTCGCTTTCTCTCTCTCTTTCTCTTTCTCTCTCTCTGGTGAGTGCACACACCCTGTAAGCAAAAACCTCTCTAAAAAATAGTAAACAAAGGGACCAGCAGTTGGTGTAATGGCTATGTCGCTGGACTCCCATGTAGTCGACTGAGGTTCGAGTCCTGGACCTGGTGGCTTAAACTCACAATGGGCGCATGTGCGTGCATGCCCAAGATCCCATGAAGAGAATGGAGGAGAAAGGATTGCGGCGTGGCCATCCCCCCAGGGGGTGATTTCTCGCTTTCTGGCTCTCCGTCTCTGTCTTTCTGGCGAGCACACATGCCCTATAGCAAAAACCTCTCCAAAAAGTAAATACATACATACATACATATATAAGTATAGTTGCCATCCTAGAACTCTGAAAGTATACCGGAACTTTAGAGAGTTCTTGCAGGGCCAACTCCATGGCCTACTCGTTAAGACAGCTGGATCCTCCATGGCCAGCCACATGGTTCAAATCCTGGCTCCGGTGGCTTGAAAAACACCGCAGGTGAGCGTGCGTGTGTGTACTCAAAATTCCAGCAGGATGGAGAAATGGAGGAGAAGGGGCGTGGTGCGAGCATGCTCCATGATCCTCTGGGGGTGCTTTCTTCTTCTCTTTCTTTCTCTTTCTTTCTGTCTCTAACAATCATACGTGTCCTCTGGCAAGGAAAAAAAAAAAAAGGAAAGATGAAATTAAAGTGCAAGTTCATTTTGGTGCAAAAACAATTTTTTTAACACTGTACATAATTTTTTTCTTTTATTATAGATTTTTTTAGAGTTTGGTGTTTTGGTTTTGGAGTTGTGGGTTGTTTTGTTTTGTTTTGTTTTGTTTTGCTGTTGGCGTATGTACTTTCCAGAGAGACAGAAAGCGAGAAATCACCCCCCCCAGGAGGATAGCCACATTGCAGTCCCTTCTCTGCCATTCTCCTCTTGGGATTTTGGGCGTGCACTCACACATATCCAGCATGAGTTTTAAGTCACCAGGTCCAGGGTTCGAACCATGGTCAACTATGTGGGAGGCCAGCAACATAACCATTACTCCATCTGCTGGTCCCTAGTTTTAGCAAATCTTTTTGCGCATGTGTGACATGGACTAGACCCCTCCCCTGGTCCCAGCCAAGCTAGTCCAGCTCAACATTCCCAGAGAAGGGACAAAAAGGTGGCATGGCGGTTAAGGCGGCAGGGCTGTCTATGGTTCGAGTCCCAGACCTGCAGCTTGCATTCTCTTTTTCTCTCTGTCTCTTTTCTGTTGTGTATACATGCCCTCTGGCATGTAATAATAATAGTATTAGTAATTAATTTAATTAAATATTTCTTTAAAAAAACACTCTCAGGGAAGACACTCCATTTGGAAGAGGATCAGGATTCTTTTTGCTGGAAAAATAAATATACTCAAGGGTTATGCAGATTGGCTCCCGGAGCCTTGTGGTGAGTGGATGTGTTAGTCTACAGTCCCTGCCATGACCAAGCGTCACATATTTAACAGCTTAACCGATTGACTTTAATCCTTTTCTAAAAATTTATTTATTTATTATTATTATTCCACTTGACTGGAGTAAGACAGAGAGAGAGAGAGAGAGAGAGAGAGAGAGGGAGAGAGAGAACGCGCGCCACGAGCACTG